CCCCAAAACCCCAAAACCCCAAAACCCCAAAACCCCAGGTTAATTAACTCGAGTTGAAATTAAAGAATTTAGGCGTGAAAGAGGGGGATGAAGAGGCCTTTTGAGGATGGTGAGAGATAGGATGGGATTGTGGGAGTTAGTGCGTGGTGTGTAGGGGAGGGTAAGCTTTGTGAATAAAATTAGGATGTTTTAGACTTTTCAAATATATTTAAAGCTATGGTTCAAAAAATGATAAAAATTCATGAAAATGACTAATTCCATAACTTCCTTCCTAGTCACCCAATCCAATACCAACCCCCTATCTTCACATCCCTCCCTAAACCCAAGACCACTCCTCCACCCCTCTTCAAACCTTCTGATCTAAACTCCTCCACAAATACATCTCTAACTCTTCCTCATTAAACCGAATTACTTCCTAAAATAAAATTTTTTCAAAATTTGCTGAACATGGCTCAAAGCCTGTTTTTGTAATTTTAGAGAATTTTAGTATTCCCAAGTTCTTAATATTTGCAGTTAATGATTGTCACGACCGGCTCTACTAGTTGAGTGACTCTCCATATGAGCAAGGGGTGGTTTTGAGTCTTCAGAGAAATTGTTGTCGAGGCCAGTGCCAGATTTGGGAGATGATAGCTCTCCATGGTCCTCTTCGAGGAGTAATAACTTTTCTTCCTGTAAGGCGTTTACGTGGTTTTGCAAGATTTCATCGAGGTTTTCATATATTTCAGCTTTGGCTGATTCAATAGTGTCAATTGTTTCTTCTTTTTGCCTACTTAGCTCTTTTTCAATATCAGTTCTTAAAGAATTTATATTACTATTTGATGAATTCTTTTGCTTTTGAAATTCTTGAATCTCTATATGATCATTATTCTGTTTGCTGTTGAGTTCTTGCATAATATTTTCATCTTCTCCTTTAGGGCTCAGAATAGATCTCTTCAAATCAATTTGACTACTTAGAGTACCACTTTTTGAGAATATCTCTTTCATCATCACACCTTCGATTTCCTGCAAGGACTTGCCCAAATTTTTGATGTCATCAATGATACCTTGATACTCATGCTGCTTTACTGCTTTCTCACTCTCTTCGTAAAGTTGCTCAATAGTCTCCTTCAAATGACCCAGGTCCTGATCTCTCTGGTTTTGAAGTCTATCTAGTTCTGAAAATACAGCTGAATTATCTAAAAGTTGGTAAATAAGCCCATTATTCAAATTTTAAATTAAGGTAAACTCTTAGGGAGTCTACAGACATCCTTTAGCTTACTCTTTGACACTTTATCAGGTAAATCTCGAATTTGCTGTAAGCCAGCTTTGCACTTTTGCTCGAACAGCTCATGGGCGCTACTGAATTGCTTCTTATATTTCTCACAGAGTTCGACTACATTCTTGGGCTGGGCTATAATACAGTTTACTCATTGATGCCTCCCAGAAAAATAGAGGTAATATCTGTGAATTATATTTTAAGACCCTCAAGCACTATTTACATACCTGTTTTCTTCGAAAGCTTTGTGGTCAACTCAAGGATCGAAGACGAGTCCATTTTGGTCGCCAGCTTCTCGTAAAAATCTTCTCGAAGATACTCAAATTGCGAGTTGATGTTGTCAGTCAGAGAAGAAAGCTGGCTCTGAGTTGTTGACAAAACTTGAGCATAATTTGCCTCTTTGTCTTGAGCTTGCTTTTCAAGTATTTCTTCTAGCTCTTCAGTTGTAGCTTTGGTCATGATTTGCTGTCTCAGCTCATCGATAGTTTCTGATCGCACCTGGTCATCAATCATTGCTTCTATCCTGTCAATGTCATCGTTGGATGCTTTGTTTTCAAGTAACTGAATAATCTGGTTAAACTCATTGTTTCTAATAAGTTTCTTGAATTCTTCTTCGATATCTTTCTTGTTGGCTTTTCTGTGCAAAGCCGTAGCCACACTGTGTTTGTTGGCTTTACTTTCAAGTGCTTTTTGGAAAGTGTCTATAGGTTCACATTTAATCTCACTTACCTGTCACAACAAAATCACTCATTTCTCTCTGTATGTTGGCAAGCTTTTCTTTGGTATCTTTGATGAATTGACTATAGCCGTCCTGAACCTCTGTGAGATCTTTCCTAAGATCTTTGGTTTGAGTTTCTACAGTCCAAAGCTGCTCAAGCTTTCTAACTTTCTCAGTGATGTCAATGATTTGTGACTTATCAATGAACTGTTGCTCTATTTTGTTCCAGTCGCTGTCTAGAAATGTTAGATGATGTCTCACTTGTGAGATTGGAATCGGAGATATCTTGCTTGGTCTCAATCAGCTTTGCACAGTCTGCGTAGCACTTGTTAATATCGCTTTGACTAGCTTTGTCTTAAAATTATCAATAAAATCTTACTTGATAGTCTGGAGCTGAGCTCACTCTTAGATGCTTTAGAGTCTAGCTCTGAATATAAGTACTTCAGCTGGTTTTGCTGAGAGTTGAAAGAATCAGTGACATATTTAAAAGCAATTCTAACAACTTCTTGAATGTTCTTCCAGTCATGTGAACTGGAAAGCAAGTGAGACAGGCTTGTTAAGCCTTGGTTATCTGAGCTGTAAGGCTGTTGTGGAACCTTAATTGATTGATAAAACTGGTCTTTGAGATTTCTGGCAGGATCTGATTGTTTGCTACAACCTACAAATTACAAGAATTAATACTGTTGAATCACTCAGAATTCTTGACAGAGTGATAATTAGGCTCTGGATTTTTCTGATAATTACGAAGGTTTTCATAATTATCAGCCTTGCTGAGATACTGTCTATCTTGATGAGGATAATAACTCTGTAGCGATTCGGTCCTTCTTGCTTCAGGATGCCTAGTTGAACTCCAATGTCCAGTAGATTGGCGGTCTTGGAAACTCATTGCATCAGGGTTTCTGTGGCAGTGCTCGTGGTCTCCAAGATATTCATCAAGTTCTCGAATGCTTTCTTCTTCGTCAACATCTCTTAGTAATGGCTTGGCAGTGGCAAAGTGATCTTGAGTAGTTGAATTAGGATGATCTTGAAATAGAGAGCCATTTCGATGATAGTTGCTTCTTAGACTTTGATAAGAAGGCTGAGATTTATCATTTAAGTATTGAGGACGATCAAAAGAACTGAGCTTCTTTGCTGTACTTTGATCTTCAACTTTTACAGTCTCAGCATGCAGAATTGGTTCATCTCCTTTAGTTTAAGGTTCGTATACTTACTTTGAGGAGAAAGTGTCTGATGATGACTTATATTCTCTTCTTGTGATAGAAGTTTATCATCTTCTAGCTCAGCATCCGTGTCTCTATAGATAAATTTCTGCTTCAAATACTTTTTGGGGCGCTCAGAATATGATGAAGTAGAAATATATTTCATTTCTTGTTGCTTTTTCAATACACTTAACTTCTTCAAATTCATCACATTCATCTCCATTTGTTTATAATCAGGAAGCGAAGTCATTCTTGGAATACAATCTTGAAGGCTATATGAAATTTTGGACTTCTTTTCTGATCAATCTCTTTTTTCCGCCATGTTTTACAAATTTTATTTAAATTATTCCCAGGATTGATATTTGGGGTTTTGGGGTTTTGGGGTTTTGGGGTTTTGGGGTTTTGGGG